CGACCCCTTTTTCAAGTACAAGCTACTAAAATTAATGGCAAAACGAGATTGTCTGAAGGGCTCGTTGAATCTGATATGCCCCAGAAGAAGCGAGCCAAACACATGAGTACTGTTAAACAAAAGAGTTTGGACAAATCCGTTGTAAGCTATTGAGTTATAATTATATCATAGTTTATTAGAGCAATATTCATTATATCGCACAAGGTGATTTAAAGACGTTTCTTTGAATTTTCCAACAATAAAAAGTGAGCCTTACGATGCCATTGAATTTCGCCTAGCTTTAACGCCCAAAAGGTTTCCTTATTCAAGAAGACCTCAATACCTTCAAATGAATTGTAAGCCGAGCTGTGGGCGCAAAATGGCGACACGTTACCACTCCGCCACAGCCACGGGTGCCGGTAGGTCATGGGGCAGATGTGATTTTCAGAGTACGACCAGGTTTCAAATCCCGGTGTGGGTGATGATGACAAGGCGAAGTGGGGTCTAAGCTGCATTCATTCATTGATGGGAAATGAAAACAATTTGGGACACAAGGTTAAGTGAAATTTAAGGGAATAGTGAAGCTTATTTATTTCGCAACTTGGTCTTGTTGTCAGGGCGACTTAGTAGAATACACCTTGTTCGAAGTCCTCTGTGATAGTTGTGAAAACGAGGTAAATCCACTTCTATAAATTGAAAGGAGACTGCGACCATACCGGGGGCCACACCATCATGGTCTTCATATCTTATTTCATTGAGTTTAAATCAATTTTTAATTCTTAACCACCTTAGGCTACCTAGAGTGACTCGGGTAATAGTTTTTTACCCATGATACCGAGAAATTTCGTTGATAGCAATGACAAATACAAGTTACCTCATCATTACTCCCACCATAAATGTTCTTTTGGAGAGGCCTGACTTGCCTGGCCTATTGGAACCCGTGGTTATATGGTTATGAGGCCTCACCGTGTAGCTAATTTGCGCGCTCGACCATGTTTCGAATACCATTAGGGTAGCTTACGAGACCTGTGCGAGGTCGAGACAGTCCACCTTTGGAGACAGGAAAGGCTAGGATAAATCCAATGGCATCGTGAGGAATGAATCAGCTTTGAATCAGCTTAAGCAACCTAAATTCTCATTCAAAATTTGTTAAAATACTAAAATAATATGCATCTACCGAATATACATAATTTATTAAGTTACAAATGGGGCTTGATTATTATTTGGTCTTTGTCTTTGCACACGTGCTCTTTGTTTAGCTTATTTAACTTTCACATTTTCGTTTATTAGTATGAGATTTGATTGTTCTTAGGCTCAAAATCATCAGCACTCTACAAGACCTCTCAATTTTCTAGTTCTGCTTGGCTAACCATTATAGTTAATTTTGCTTGCTTATCTTAGTTTGTGTTTCGTCGCTTTCCATCATTCAGAATATTTGGACCAGTATTGATAATGTGAGAAAGCTATCGTTTTATGCGCATTAAATCTTCTATATGACTGATTAACGTTTTCCCATATCTTGTATTCATCTCCAGCTTAAGCCAGTTTCATGATAATTTTCTGTCTTAGAATTATTTGCCCTAAGCTACATTCGTGCGGTTAGATTTTTCTTGTATAGAGTTCAGATTATGCATGTGCATACTTTAATAATTAACTCGCAATTCTTTTTTGCAGCCCGTGACCATGACTAAACTTTCTTCTCTTCCTTCGACTACAACAACTCAAAGCGACTCCCATTTGTTACCCCACTCTCACTTTACTAAAATTACCTATCCATCAGTCCTTCCTGCTGCACTGACACCTCCAGCTTCCTCTTCCTCTGATTTTGTGCATAACCAGCACAATCGGCTTCTTAATCTCACCTACTCTGGCTCGGATAATTCTCCCTTATGTGAACCCATAAGCAATGTTCATTCGAGCAGCAGCATTGGTGGAGACGGGGTTACTAGTTGCCTTGATACACGAGAAACGGCTGGACTCGTTGTGGCAGTGCTGTCCAGACACTTTGCTCGAGGAAGCTTTTTGAATAAGGTAGATATCTTTCTGACTATTTGTGGCACTATGGACTTGATTTTTTTCTCTTTATAAGTAATGAGATATTTATGACCCCATGTTTGTTAAAGATCATCCTAGGAATGTTTTAAGACACGCTAGCATTTGACGCTAAATGGATGTTCCTACTTGAGGTGAACTACGATTTTGACTTCATCCTATTTCGCCAGTTTGCATAGTTGGATTCAAACAATGAGCAAACAAATATGTCTTCTTTCAGAACTCGACACCTCAAAATTTAACGAATTGAATGGCAGTTATGACGAACAGAACCTACTAGAACACATAATTTGATCTTTTTTTTCTTAAACGAAAAGGAGGCCTTTAGACAACTTGATAATTGCATAAATTTATCAAGGTTCGAGTCAGTATAACATTTTTGGCATAAAAGTTATTTTTTTCAAGCGTTTATACTTCAGGCATTCAGTATGCAGTCCTGAAAAATCTTCATTCTTTCTTACTATACTCTTCGCAATATATAGTTACCACCCAGAACAGATTTTTGCACAACCAATCACACACTCCCTATTCCTATAGTGTATACCGGCAAAGTGTATTTTAGCTCATTTTCTTAAATGATCTGCTGTGCCAATTACATTTATCTCTAATTATTCCAACATAAGCTACGTTTACTGTGCATCAATCTTAAAAGCCACTGACTTTCCCATATTCCAAGCCTCATTATGCATATTTTGGTAATTTCTCGATATTTTTATGTACCATCTAGTCCTTATCAGAAGCCCATGCAATTCGCGTTAAATCAAGTATTTTATTTTTTTAATATATTTGTATTTTGTGGCCATTTTAAGATTCTGATGATAATCTTCCCTTTTTAGGATGTTTTTAAGCCAATCGCAAAGGAGGCCACTAAGCAAATTTTAAAAACTGTCAAATCAAAGGAAAATCGTGAGCTGTTATTTTTTTCTATGTACCTAAATAATTCATTTCATTTATGGATACATTCCTATTTTCGTATTGGAGTGGAGTTTCGAGACTACCAGTTAATCAGTAATATGAGAGGTATTCACCCTATTTCGTTTAAGGTGATGAAGAACTTGTAGTAGAATTTTCCAACAATGATATGGGCGGAGCTGACGTTTTCATTGAATTTCACATTGCCTTGCTTTCCTAAAAGTTGTTCTCATCTAGGGGGGACTGCACTTTCAACCTCACATCAATCTTATCAACATCCTCAGCGGGAGTCGAACCGTGACAGTGCAGAATGGGAACTTGACACGTTAACCTCTCGACCACATTGCCACGAGTGCCCTTGGGTCACAGGGCATAAGTGAATTTCAAGGAAGGTCAGGCCTTTTGCCATACATTCTTCTGGTGGGATTGCCGATGAAGCAAACGTATATTTGCTATAACAATCGACTACATTACTAATTTTCGTATTGGAGTAGAGTTTCTACTACCAGTCCTTCATCACCTTAAACGAAATAGGGTGAATGCCTCTCATATTAAATTCCTATTGTTCTTTATAATGTAAATTTAATACTATTTTGATATGTTCACGCCAATTTTTCGATGTAAGATTGATGGAAGCCCATTTCAAGGGATAACTCAATTACCCCTTAGGTTGGAATTTGGTTCTGACTCTCACATCACACTCATTTTACGAGAAATACACTCATACAACACGTGTGCAATGGGACGCAATCACATGCGGTAAAATTGCAGGATCAAAGGTATAAGTATATTAGGGGAGGATGCAGCTGTCCGGTTTCAATTGCACCCATTTTACGCTTTATTTGTAGCCACTTTACATGACATCCGCAGCCACTTAACTTAACTTATAAGCAAATATAAAGGCAAAGCATAGGACATCCAACCAAAACATGAGATGCATAAGTGGACCAAATTTGAATATAAAAAGGAAGTAGGTTTGAAGTCGGCTTCGTGTTTTTGGTGAATTATCGTTAAGCATGTCCTGCTCTGGTGATGCCCGTCACATGACGGACGAAAGCTTGCAAGGTTTCATCGGGTCGCAGGGCGGTGCGCCGAGGACCTATTCGCACAAATTTACAATCACAGCCTCCGGTGGAACCAGCTTACTAACCATTCCACTCGCTTCTTCAAACGAAACGAAAGGTACACCAACATCAATCTATTAAGGGATTCTTCGGAACTCAGTTTTTATACATAATCTATCTATTTTCTTATAGTTTATCTCGTATCCCGTACTTGAAATGTGCTTTGCTACTTCTCATATATCTGTTTTTATGCTTCTGTAGAGTATTTGGAGTTCCTTGATTCGTGGACTGATTTTTTTTCCTATTTTACCTATATGCTTGTATTCACCTTAGCTGCAGGTTATTTAGTTGCTTCTCGAGTATTCCAGTTTATCCAACTTATCATCTAGAATCGGTAAGCCAGCGAAGTGTTGTATTCTTCTTCAGAATCTCATGGATACTATTTTGTATTAGTATCCGTCGCAGTTTTTGACTTAATTCTTAGGAGGTCAGGCATATTCACTTTTGTGCCTCTTGCCAATTCATGATTTTCTTTTCATAATCCCCGCCTTGCCATCCGTTTTTACAATTTTCATATTTCTTTGTGTGACTTCTATGGGTTATCCGAGTCAATTTGTTCAATTCTTCTTTCCAAAATTATATGTCTCTTAGTCTCCAGTTTCTGGAACTCATGCTCATTATTACGATATCCAATCTGTGGTTGTGATTAGATTGGAAATTGAGGATGGTCCCTGTATTGACTACTTTGAATTCTTTCCGAATAATCTCCTCTTGAGTGTCTCGTTGGAACTAATTTTTTAGACAAGGATTAGTAGTCGCTCATCCTTCCGCACCTCCATTGTGACTATGATTTTTTCGCCAAGCTGGTTCACAAATTTCAGTAATACTTATAAATTTTTCCAACCATGTGGCCAAGGTGCACAATATTTATGCAGGTTTTACGTGGGCACTTGGCCCAAGCGATGACTTCTCGAATCCCATATATACGTTTGCCCAAAGATGTGGTATTGGAGATCCCATAGTAAATCCAAATATTTTTTCATTGACACTGCCGTTGAACATGAAGTAAGTTGTAGCTGTTAAGTTTTTCACTCATGGTAGAAACTTTTTCCTGGATCTGATCTTGTTTTAGCATCGTGGATGCCTTTTCACCTGAGATTCTTATGCGCATGAACTTTCAATCAAAACTTACCAACAGCTTCGCTCCAGTCTCACCTTTTTATCCTTAGAGAAAATTCATATAAATTCTTTACGATATCAGCTTATCTATTATTTACTTTTTTTAACTTGAAGCTTATGAATTTTGTCAGTTCATGTATTGCTCTAGTCATATCCTCGAATATCACCCCTAGTACTTCCTTTTTGTTCTGTATCTTCAGTGCCCCATAGGCTATCAATGGTCTTACGTCCTTTTTATTAAAGAATTTATCATCCATCCGCCGATTTCTTCCTTCATATCTATTTCTTTCTGCATCTATTTTAGCATTCAGTTGATTTTCATTGTTTAGTACTTATTCAATAAGTGCTTCTGTTTTCTAGTATACTTACCGTTTCTAATATCGAATAGCTATGAACCTAAATGACCTACTACGTTCAATATTATAGGTATCGTTTAATTTATAGATGAAAACATGGTAAATTTTCCTTAACGATATTTTAATGGTATTTTCCCATTAAGTTGAATAAGCCAGAGGCGATACCATAATATGAAGAAAAACTGGGTTTCGAAGAATGCCTTAGTGATATATTGTGACATGACTTTCCATTTCGAAGGAAAAGTTGGTTGGAAGGAATTCCTGATGTGGTCTCGCCGGAAACCGAAGGAGGATTGTCGCGTAGGGAAGACTGTTTAATTATGCGAAGAAGTCCTCGGCTAACCGTCCTGCGACCCCGATGAAATTGTGTTAAGCTTTCGTCTGTACTGTAGCAGACACAATCAGAGCAAGTATCCATATTCCACGAAATTGAGCAAAAATATGCTAGACCAGGAGAAAAGGTGGCCGGCTGCAACCCTAGTTGCTTTGTTATACAGCTAACTTCGCGATCTTAATGAAGCGTCTCATGATCTCGTTGGTTACTTCAACCTTACTCTACATGCTTGCAAATAAGTTAAGTTACTTCCAGAATCAGAAGTGCGCCCGGTGACAGCTGTTTCATCACAAACAAAAACTAGCGTACGATCGCCTAATGCTGAATCATGC